AATGGAACATTTTCTTGCGAGTAAGTTCCAGATATTTCATTAGTTTATTATAGTTACACCATAGGCGATGGATCTTAACAAAATCCACACGTTTTACCTGTGAGCAAGATTCTTTTAAAATGATATTTTGTATGCTTTCATTATCATTATTATTGTCATCACCACCATCATCATCATCATCATCATCACTACCATCATCATCGTCGTCATATTATCGTCATGAACATGATCAATATCATCATCACAACCATTATTATTACCATCACTAATACTATCAGCATCCATAATGTTTAGAAATCCATCTGTCCTCTTTAACTGCCGCTCAGGAATGCTGATATCGTCTAACTTTTGGTTTTCATTCATTGATCGGTGTAAAAACTGTTACGTTTCAAGAATGTCCAATTACAGTAATAAGTATAAACCATTGTATTCCTTTTATGCAGGTGTTTTACAGGTTATTCGGGAGAAAATTGTACAGCCTTTTCTTGTGAATCAATCAATCATTGTTCAGGACATGGAAATTGCATTGAACCTGACCTCTGTGAGTGTGATGCTGGCTATACTGGCGTTGATTGCGCATCTCCTTCATGTGAAAGTCTTGGATATTGTTCTCGTAAGTTGACCTGTATTAATTGTCTATAAGTATTGCTATGTTCTAAATTGGCTGCCATGAGTGGCCGTATGTGGTGCCGCCTGTATTCACAAATATAGTACATGTATCTTAGATTTTTACATTACTAGTTTTTTTTTTTAACTTTCTATTAAAGGTAATGGACGATGTACTTCATTTGACGTGTGCGAATGCTATTCCTCCTGGTCTGGTGAAAGATGTGACCGTTCCTTTTGTACTGGTAATTGCAATGGACGTGGAGATTGTGTTGCTTTAGAAACATGCGAATGTTATTTAGGTTTTGAAGGAGATACTTGCCAGAATATTCAACAAGAGAACCAAAATCAACCGATGTTTGATTATGAAGAGTTGAATATAACTATTGCTGAAAATATCACTGTTGGAACGTATCTTTTAACGGTACATGCAAGTGACAACGACACAGGAAAAAACGGTGAAATATCGTACCGCATTCTATCTTCTGAAGAATCTAGCTTTTTCTCAATAGATCAAGACAATGGAAATGTATTTACTGCTGCAGAATTCGATTATGAAAGCCAAAATTCTGATATCACTCTGTCAATAGTTGCTGAAGACAATGGTTCTCCACCTATGAATGATTATTCTACCATTGACATCACATTGCATGATATTAATGACAACTGTCCTGAATTTGTAGGAGAATATCCGGACATAACTATTCCGCTAAACACAACTAATGGGACAGTTATTACTAATATTTCAGCAACAGATTCAGACACTGGTGAAAACGGATATGTTACGTTATCAATTAAGGTTGAGGGCGACGATTCAAAATCAATATTTGAATTAGATTCGGACAGTGGAGAGCTAACTGTCTCTGGGTATTTACAGTCAGGAGAGTATGTAATCAAGGTCATCGCTTCGGATAACGTAGAACAGCCATGTATTACCGAGAAAGCGTTTTCAGTACACGTACCATATAACCAAAACATTGTCACTACGCAGT